GCCTGGTCTGTCAGCATTGCTGCCTGCCCTTCGGCCTGCTTCCCTGCCCGCCAGCCCCGTAACTCTCACCTCCCCTCAGCCTTCCCCTGCCCGCCCTGCCTGCCTCCCCTGCCTGCCCGCTCCCCACCAGGGTGCCTTCCTTTGCCCGTTCTCCTGCCCTCCTCCCTTGCTCCCTGCCTGCCCGACCCCCGCAGAGGCCCGGTTCCCGCCCAGGGCCCTGGCGCCAGCGGGTGTGGGAGGCGGCAGCAGAAGCTCCCTCGCAATAACCTGCGGCCCCGCGGACGAGGGAGTGTGCGGTTTAAAAGCTGCTGGAGACAACATTCGCTGGTTGTAAACCGCGGGCAGGCCGGATTCTGCTGTCTCCCGGCGTATTGCAGCGGGGTACGATACCCGGCCGCCTGGAAGTGCCCTTTACTGTGTATGAATCTGCCGAGTTTTCTCGTTTTCTTAAGAAAAAACGAGGCAAATAAGTAAGAAAGAGGGATCTAAAGTTATCATGTTGAAAAAGTGTGGTTTCCTCAAGTGTGTGTGTGGGTTGCTGGCTGTGCCGGGCAGTGGTGCTGCAGGCACCAGGAAAGGTGACCAGGGCAGAGCTGGGGTCAGGATGGGGGCAGGGGAGAGTGCCAGCCCAGCAGACCCTCTGAGGGCAAGGTGGTGGCAACAAGCGAGGGATTGCAGCTTGCAAGGACTCTGGGACTTGGCTGAAATGATGCCCTGGGAGCCATGGTGGAACAGTCTGGTGTGCCACTGACATTTTTGGGTTTGATCTGATTTGATTTTAATCCAGGGGCCATGATTGCTACATCCCATCTTCTCTGTTCTTATTTTCCACAGTTTGGAGCGTGTGAGGAGCTGCCAGAAGAATCACTAATATTTTCATTTGTGCTTTTTCAGGTATGAAGATCTCATATGGCTTTATGTTTTTGGGTTGGTGTTAGTTTAGGATTTTTTTTAATCAGTGGCACTAGTATAAACTGAGTGATTACACACTGTTTGGAATGTACATTACACACATTATGGAGTGATGTCTTGACCCAGCTACACATAGAGGCTGTAAATATGCACAGGTCTGAGTGCTTCTGAGTTAATATAACCACTGCATCTTGTGGCATGGTTTGTGATGGATTCTTAGTTGCTTCCACTGTGTTTCTAGGCAGCCTTTGGGCTTTGCCATATTACTATGTTTTCCCACAACCCAGTAACCTTTTTTTTCCGAGGAGGCTTGATCCTCTCTTGCCGGTGCTCAGCCTCATGCATGACACAGCAGGTCACACGTAGTGATGCTTCCTCCAGTTAAGTGTCCATGTGGGAAGTGTGCATTTTGCTTCCTGAAGTAACGTGCATTAAGGAAAGCAGCAACAAGAGACAGGTGGAGTGAAACCCCTTTTCTAGCTCAAGAAATACTCAGCCATCACTCCATTTTAAATGCAGTCAAATAACCCTAGAAGCTTGCTGGTTTCTGAGGCCTTGTGGCTGATGACTTTTATAGTTTTTCACAAAGTGGATAACATGGAGTTGTTTAGAAATCCCCAGTAGACAAAATAATATCTCGAGTCTCATTTTGTTGGGTAGATGGAGTTATTGGCAGGCTGAGTGAGACTTCCAGCCAAGACAACTCAAGTGCCTGTGTAGATGTTTTCTGGTGCCTGCAGACCAGTCGATACTCTGCCACTGCATAAGCAAACAATGACATGAGTGGCTGAGCTGTGATGTGGTTGCTGTGGTGGACTGGAGCTGTAATTCAGTGGCTGAGAGACCTGGATTCAATTCTGTGCTCCTCCACAGGCTTCCCATGTGACTGGGGCCCAACTCCTTCGTCTGTCTGGGGTGGTCTGTGTTGCACAACACTGCGTTGTACAGAGATCCTGGTGCTGGTATGAGCTAAAGTCTAGCTTTGGGACTTGGTGCAGCCCTCCCTGGGAGCTCTTTTGGCCCTGCTGAGGACACGAGAACTGCATTGGTAACCCTGTCTGCCTGCTCTGGACCCAGAAGACCTCACAGCATTTGGAGCTAATGGAGGATTGCTAGTAAAGCGCTGAGGTGTCTCTTCCTTTCCCATCTGCAGTAGTTTGATCTGCTTCACAGAAGAGATCTGAGTGTAAATAGGATAGTGATTGCAAGGTGCAATCACAGTGAAGAGGGCCACTGATACATTTGAGAGTGATACCATTTTATGCCTCCCCTGCATAGGAATCTACGAGTACGTGGTGGATAGCAACTGGAGCATCTTTCATGGGGTCTTTGGCAGGGCTTCAGGCAGAGCCTAGTGCTCCTGTTTCTTTCTCACGTGGCTCAACATGAGACCTCCGTGCTTGTGAGTGAAGGTAATAGTGACCTTCCATGGGGCCCAGTCTCCGTTCCCAGTAGCGCTGTGTTTGTTAAGGGACCTTGTATTTTCTTCGGGAATGAACAATGCCTGGCTGTAGATGTGTTCTGAACTCCTATCTGTGCCTTATCTGCCTCTGAAAAGGCAAACATGAAACTTCAGCTGTTTATTTGCCTGCATGCTTTTAAGATATCACAACCTTGAAAGTACAATGGCTGAGCTTTTTACTTCTGAATTTATGACCTCAGTGCTAACAAATACGGTTTTTCAAATGTGAAGTGAATTCTGCCTTTTTCTCTCCTCTTCCCACTTTCTTCTCCCTGCCCTGTGCCCCAACTCCACCCATTTTTTCTGTCCTGGGGTTTCAGCTGAATTTAGTAAGGTCTGGATCAAGATGGAGACCAGAAGAGTCAAGAGACAAAATGCGGAGAAGTGCTTGACCACCGGAGGCCGGTGGCACAGGATGTGCGAATGCAACATGGAGAGAGTGGTGGCTTCCCCGCTCACTTCCAACTGCAAAAGACACTGAGGACAGACTGTCAAAAGTGTCAGCTCTCACAGGAAACATTTTGGATCAAAACACCAGTCTTCAGAAGAAAGGGAGAATTTCTTTAGTTCCCGTCCTTTGTGAATTCAGTGCAGCTACTCCTGGTGGATACATAATTCAGGCAGATTCAGGCTCGTGTCTCAACAGGGCAGAAATAATACAGAAGTGTTGTACTGAATGCTTAAATAATCAACTCACAACCAAGAGTTTTTTAATGCACACTGTGATACATATTATATGCTGTTTCTTGCTGGTGGGACAGTACCCTGCAATCAGACCCCACAGATGGGCTCACATAACGTTTGCTGAGTCTAAAACTTTTTCTGTATGTGAAAAAAATCACTAAAACCCCATTTTCAGCATTGTATGCCAGATGCTAGCATGTGTTTGAATAGCTGAATTCTTGCCTTTTTACAACATGTTGCAAAATTGATTCTGAGTGAAGCACTGAATTTACAGCAATTCAGGAGAGGAGTGAAGACTATGTCTGAAGAAGCCCCCACCCAAGTCAGCATTTTGAGATGAGGACACCCCAGTTGGGCAGTGCAGTCCCTTCAGATCAGGCCAGGCTTGTGTAACTTAGGTTTTGTTGAGAAGCCTGTAGCCATCTGAATAGTGCACTGAGAACCAGATTGTGCTCTGATGTGGGATTTTTGCTGTGACCATCTGGCAGGGGACTTCAAATCTTAGTAGTCGCTGAAATTCTGGAGGAAACAGCAAAAGTTAAAATGCCTTTTTTTTGGAGGTGTAACACTACTGTGTCATTAGTTCACAGCTGCCCTGACATTTTATCAACAGGAGAAGGGAGCTGCACAGCTCAGGATCAACACAGTAAATACTGAATGACAAACGAGTTGGCCACACCACTGCTTCGGTATAGTTCGATCGATCCTGGTAACAGAGATCTCCGCTGTTGTCTCTCCGTGGGTATGTTTCCAGGGTGGTCTCTGCAGAGTGAGGATTTTGCTGCTAGGGGAAGAGGAGACAAGAGGATGCCCTAGCTGGAGAAAAAAGGGCATCTATGAAGAAGCTGGCTGAGCCGCACAGGAGCTGCAAGAAGATTTACTTGACTCCTTGTTTCTGAAGAAAGAGCAGCAGCAGCCATTGTGGTGTGGTGGTGACTTATTCAGCCCAGCTGCTGGTGAAGGTTTGGACTAAGCTGTAGGGCTTCCTCCTGCTTTTTGACAGTGACTCTGTTAACAGTTACACATACAGGAAACACCTCGAGGGGGTCAGGCACGGCAATGTGCTTAATTTGAAATCCAGCAGCTGAAACGGTGTCAGTGCTGGTGGAGCAGCAAGCAGAGATGGGAGGGCAGTGTTGTGGCTATATGCTGCAGCCTTCAGCATCCCCTCGGGCATTTCTCAGCCCCAAAGTTCAGCTCTGAAAGGTAAGTTGGCCACTCAAGGGATCCAGTGAGTGATTGGTTCGCTTCTGTGTTATTATGGGCTGCATGGAGAATTTAATTTATCCGTAAATCACAGAAAATTGGTAAATTATACTAGATACTAGGATTCATTAGGCATTCAGGCTCCGAACAGGGCAGGTGGGCCTAGAAACCACAAGACAGCTCTTCTGGGTGCACTTCTGTCTGCCAGATCTCAAACATCAGTGAGGCAGTGTGATGTGCACATGTGTCGAAAGCAGCCAGTGTTGTGTTTTCGGTTGGGCAGCTGCCGGGATGTGCTGCGCACAGTGGAAGCCCAGCCTCTGCTCTGCGCAAGCGTGGCACCTGCCTGGGGACTGTCAAACCCCTGTCCTTCAGCAGCACGGACGTTGCCCCTGTCACTCAGTTCCAAAAAGGCCCACATAGGTCATTCCTTAACCATGTGGCACTGATAAGCTGCCAGGCACTGCGCAGCAGATGAGTTTGTCAGAGAGATGCAGCATGGACGTGCTGAGTAGAAACAGCTTGACTAATTCTTTTTTAATTTCCATTTCTTCAAGATGCTCCTGCCCCGGTCCGTGCCTTTAGAAGTGTGACACTCGTCGGTTCTGGGTGCAGCCTGCTGCAGGACAGGCAATATCATTACGCAGCCAGGATGGTGGCATTTAACTGGAAGGTGAGGATGTTTCACATTCATAAAGCAGTGAATTTCTGCTCTTTCAAGCAGATGCATGAAAGATATGGTTGGGTGGGTGCTGTGTTTAAAGATGGTTTCCTTGCCTAGGTGAAGGTTGTTTAAACACCACACTGTCTGCATTTCAGGGACAGAGGACTCATTGTTGTCCTTTCTTGCCATACATGTTGCACCTTGCGGGCTGACCCCAGTACTTGCTGTTGAGACCTCTCACTTTAAAGCCAGCGCAGCGCTGGTAGGGAAGCTCTGCTCTGCTCGCCTGTGCTTGTCCTGGCTTTCCTCTTTCCAGGCGCTTCTCTGATTGCTCTTTCCTCAGCTCCTTTCATTACTGGAGGATGTTTTCTCTACTATGTCTTTAAGTGTATTGGGGCCATAAACACTCTGCCGAGTATGTGTGTAAGGCACAGAAATGTTTGAGCAAGTACCTCATGCATTAACAATTTTAACATGTTAAATCAAACCATTTATCAAGAAAACACTGCTAACCCCAAGCCTTGACTTTACCTTTCTGGTGTTGCAGAACTGTGGTTTAAAGAGATTTCCTTTTTTAATGTGTAGGGAGATTGACAGAGGATGGTTGGGTTTTTTTTTTTTTCAAAATTAGAGTGGAGTGGCCTGATGTCAAAGGCAACTGCAGCTTGTAGAGATTAGCATTATAAAAGACGCCCCTTGAGCCTCTGATTTGTGGACTTTAAGGGGACACGCTAATGGTGTATGGATACAAGGCTTTTTCTAAATTTGGTAGTTTGACAATGGCCAAACAGCTTTATGAGGTGCTGGCAGGCCTGCTAAGGGTACAGGGGGATACTGAGAGGCTTGCTAAGGGGGAGCTGGCACTGTGAACCTACTGTGCAGCACTGCAAGACTGGACCGATCCTGCTGGCCAGGGGGCTCTTTGAAACAGGGAGCTGGGAAGTTCATGTGCCTGCAATATCGGTCTGGCATTGACATCGTTCACTGAGTGCCTGTGCCGCTCTCGTTATATTTGTATTCTGAGTTCACAGTATTACCCATTTGCATTTTATTTTCCACTCCATGTGCACTTACAGTAGCATGCTTTTATAACATTGAAATATATTGTGCAATTTCGGTGGTTCCAGGTGTTAAAAACTCCTGAAACGGAATCATTGGATGCTGTGAGGTTTTTACTTTTCTTCCAGTTTAAAGGCATTTATCTATCCCTTCCAGAACTGGGCAAGTTAATTGCAAAACTACCACAGATTAAAATTTCTAGGAGCACAAAAGTGGTTTTGGGGATCACATCTGATAGGTGATATGCGCGGATCTATCGCTCATGTGAGAATTGTTCAGAAGTTCACTTTTACAATTATCCTAAGATACTCAGTTCTTACCCTTTTTCAGCTCCAGATCGTGCCATTATTCCATTTGCTGTAAAGCAAGCAAAAGCAACAAAGACCTGTTCAAAGGAGCTTCATATACAAACCTGAGTGAAGGGAACTTGTTTTTGTCCTTTCCCCTAGACGTTGATCTGCCTAAAGTTTCCTACAGAAATAAAAGCATGAACAGAGGAGCATTACCATTGCTTTGAATAATGCTATTGCTGTAGGAAGCTGTATAGCATCCCTGTAGATTAATTTTTAATTGTCAAAGTGTTCCAGTAACTGCTTAAATATATTATTTTGCATTTCAGGCTTTGGAGAATTTCCCATTGCTTATATACATTTTGGCAGCTAAGACATTGATTCTTTGCTTAGCGTTTGCTGGAGTAAAAATGTACCAGAGCAAAAAAATTGAAGAAAAACTGAAGAGGGAACGTGAAGCGAAATTGAAAACGGAAGCGGAGAAGAAGGATGATTGAAGAGTCTCTCAGGTATAGAATTTATTTGACATCCTGGTGTTTGATAATGGTATTGACGTATTAATCCCATTATGTTTTGACTTGGATGCATTTAGATTGTGCAATTAGAACTATCACCATTATCTGCGTTCTTGTAATATTTGTCTCCTGTAATGTTTCAGCATATTTGCACACTCATATCATGCCCATTCTTTGTAGGAGTTGCAATTACCACTGGAAAACTTGGCAGACATGGCTTTTGATTTAGGAGATCTTAGCACAGTATTCTTTCTCTGCTCTTTATCTCCCTGAATTTTTATGTCCGACCAATTGCACAGGAAGTCCTGATGCGTAAAGAGATGGTTAAATCGGGCAAAAAATGCATGAGAGGCATGCCAGACAGGATGATGCAGTAAGACCTCTTGGCCTTAAGTCACATAATGAAGATAGAAGAGAATCAGCCATTCCATATTAGTTAAATGCATGACAAGTTGTAGATAGCAGATAGTTTAGCTGGAAGGGCCAAATCTCATGCCATAGAACTTCCCAAGGTAACAGAAATGTTACAGGTTATGCTACGTAACATCTGCCATATATAATTCACTGACAAAAATGGTTATCTTTCTGTATAAAAGAGCAAAATGAGCATTACAGAATGTCTTAAAAGTTTTGGGGTTTTATTCCCCATGTGCTGAATCCCTTCCCCCTATTTTCGAATTTAAGCAATCATTGCCTTATTGGATCAAGTCCATTAGCAACATGTGTGTTGCCTAGTACTAAGATTATATTCCCTGACTTGTTTGGTATGTGATTTTTGTATCAGTTCGTTTCACATCTCTCTGTTCTGCAGCAAAGTGGGAATTCTATTCCTGCCTGCCCTTTGTAAGCCTAGTGGGAGTTTGATGTAATGTTACTCTTTATTAAACTAAAAAACTTACTTTCCTCTTTTGAGGTCATGACCTCACATATGAAGAGAGTTTCAGTTTTTAGAAATGTTTATTAGTTTTGATTTCAAACCTATATATGTTTTATTTTGTGCAACAAGGATTGGAAATTGTGACTAGAAATGGGACCCTGGAGATAACCATGGGAACAAAGTGGCTCCTTCGCATAGGAAAAACAACAAAAACAAAGGTGTTTTTCAGTCTCCTGTTTACATCAGATTGAGGACTTATCTCTGGGCAGACTTGTGCCATTTTAAACTTTTATTTTAAATCAGTTTCGCTAGCCCCTGGAAAATGTTGTCAGAACACTTCTTTCTGTTTTTGCAGAATAAGTCAGAATAAGTTATACGGAGTTTTACTGCTAAACAAATGAGAGGTGGGCTGCCCTGCAAGCCAGCAAGGCTGCTGCTTGTAATGAGGAGACCATACTGTGCTGTGTGTGCAGCGCTGGGCCCCAGGGAGTTCTGTCTGGCAGAGTCCATAGCCCAGGGGGTTGTTGCACCAGGGTAACGAGCTCGTCTCACAAGGCCTGTGTGTCCAGCCTGTGACATTGGCCTTGGTGAATGACTGGCATTAGAGCATCTCTTGATTTCACAGAAAATACCCTGCTTGCCCAGTCACCCAGCATTGCCCACCAGAGGCCCAGTCCTTCCTAAATTCTACCATGTCTTGGGCTGTCAGCCATGTCTTTCTATAATGGGATTGCAAGAAGGGGTGAATTCTTCTACCCTAAAAATGTTCTCCAGTGTCAGCACTGCAGAGCTGTGATTAGCTCCAATTGCAGCGTACCACGTGGGCAGGCGGATTTGGCCCATGTGCTGCCAGCGTATCATGCCTGCAGTTTTCACTGCTGTTTCCCCACCCTGCAGATTTTCTGACACTTGGCTGCTTGCATTGGATTCCTTTCCTGGGAGAATGAAGCCTTCCTGTAGAAGAAGGATGTGTCAAAGGAATAAAACTCTCAAGAGTAACAGTCACTTAAACTGTATCTCAACTTTTTATACGTACAGCAAAATATCTAAGCCTCTATTTATGCAATAAAAAAATCCTTTGTAAAAAATAATGGCTTTGGTTGCTGCTTACTCAAACGCTACAGTTAGAGCTGCAGGGGAGGCAGTTTTTAAAGATTAGCTGCAGGGAGTTGGGTGGTTTTAAAGAGAAAACCACTCTAAATCCATCCTGGGTGTGTACAAGGTTCATGGACAGACAGAAGGAAATGGGGAGGGCTCTGTGCAGCTTCTTCAGGGCAACTGCTTCCTGTAGGGGTATAAATCTGAGACTTGTGGGCCCTTTTTTGAATCCAGATGAACAAACCCAGGAGAGGAGCTTTTCCAGGCAGGTCTTTCTCAAACCACTTTCTGCACCTAGGACTTCCTTAGATGAATGCAAATCACAGTGTCACCATTTCATGCTAGAAGTTTTATTATATTATTTTGCTATGCACAGTATCTGAGAACTGTGTATGGCTCTCTATTTACTACTTGGCCTATGAAGCAGAGAGGGTTTTCGTTACCATTGCTAGCCGTTCCTGCATGTGCAATAACACCAAATCCTGGAGGATAAGCTAACTTGGGTCACGGTAGGTTAATCAATAGAGTAGGTTTTTTTTCACAGAAATAAAGGCTTAGGCATGTGTAGCAGTGCCAACAGGTACATTGTTTGCCTTCTTGTTTCCCTTCACGTTTCCCTTCATGTTTCCATTATAAAGCACTTCCTAGATCCTTGTGTCTTCTAGAAGTTCAGGCGAAGCTGAAATCTGGCAGTGGAGCGGGGAGAGGAGGGAAGAGGAGAGGTGGAGGGCCCTTGGAGAAGCCTTGGGAGTCCGGCAGGATCTGGGAGGCCTCTGGGATGGCTCGCTCCTGCCCTCTCCCTGCGGCTGCGGGCTGAGGTGCCTGCTGTGGTCCCACCCGTGCACGAAGCTGCAGCATCCCTCTTGCAAGCGCTACCTGACTAAGTTTGTGTGCAGCCAATACGGCTGATGCTTGGGGAGCTCTCACTGTGGTGGCGTAGTTCACTGGGAACTGCAAGGATTTTTACGATCTTGCTGTTCATGCAGTCACCTTGGTGACTGGGGAATATAAATATTGCAGAAACTCATTCCTGGGATAGAGCAATATCCTTGCTATGGCAGCCTCAGGACTGCCAGGCTCGGGAATTCGTAGTGCCGTTGTAAAACAGCAGTTTCCTTCTATGGTCTCAGCAGTAACCTGTCTATACAAAGGCGGAGATGAATGGTAATTTAATTAAATGGCTCTGTGGTGTTCAGCGAGAACAAACTCTGCTAACCGCTTCCATTAAACAGCTATTGAGGGAAATGCACCAAGGTACTTAGCCAAGCCACACACCCAAACCTTAACAGGAGGTTGTCAGGCCTGTGTAGTGTTCACCAGCTTCAAAATTAAGCAATGTCTTGGCTCCATGCAATCATCGGTTGCCTTTGAATATTGGCCCTAATCTAGATTTTTTTAGAGTCTCAACCAAGAGAAGATTTTTCTAGACTAATAGTAATAACAAGGTGGGGTTTTTTTAAACTAAGAGAGCAACACTACAGCATGGATAACCCTTTGAGCTTGTGATGGGTGTCGCAGCAGGCTGATATCCTAGTTTCCCAAATAAGAAGAGATCTTATCCATTCCCAAACCTGAACCAGTATCTGTTCTCTGACATACCAGGGTAGAGTTTTGATCTATGCTGTCACTGGGTAGGTTACAGCAGGTTTTTTTACCCTTGGGCATCCTATGTGCCACAGTTGCAGCCTTGAACAAGAACATACGCTGACACTGGAGGGAGACAGCAGCTCAGATTTGTTTCAATTTCTTATTCAGAAAGCAGCTGGGGACCTCGAAGTCTGGTTTCTTACTGAAAGATGGGTTATATGATTAGTCCTGGCAAGTTTAAAAGAGGAATAGAGAATCCAATTTGATTGAGTTTCTGCAAGGGAGAGGAGGCCGCCAGGATAGAGAACCTTGAAGTGCTGAGTGTGCGGCTTGTTAGATAGCAGGGGATCTACACAGGATCCTGTTGTAGATGATCCCATCCCAGAAAGCAAGCCAGGGTACACTCTTCCGGTGCCTACAGAACTATGGAGTCTCTCGTTCTCCCCTGTTCCAGAAAATTACTCTTTTCAAAAAGAGCATTCATGTTGTATAGATGGGCAGCTTAACCTTGCACAGTACCTCTCTCGCACAGGTCTTTCACTATCAGATGTTCTCGTCGTCACCAGTGCTGAGTGTTGAAGAGTGAGAAAATAAAAGGATTACTGGCTTTTAAACTTCTAGTGCTTGTGCCTTTAGGCTTTCTTTCACTGATATGAGAGCCATGTGTTTTTAAACGAAAGCTGAAGTCCTTGTGTAGTAATAAAGGAGCTGTTGGGAGTTTAAGGGAAAAAAAAAAACTCTCAGAGGTTCTGAGATGACTTAAGTGTCTGCTAGAAGGAGCCTGAAGGAGCTCAGTGGCTGTGGGATGTCTGTGGTCCTTAAAGTGAAAAATAAGTGAAGCAGCATTCAACGGGACTGTTTTCTCATTATCTATTTTAGACTTTGGCTGAAATGAACTCAGCTTGATTGTAGTACCACTGAACGCTTTTAGTCTGAAGGCCACAAGACTTTTACCAGACACAAAACAGCAGTGGTGCTGGAGGAAGGCAGAGCTCCCTGAGCAGCATCCCGGGGCAGGAGAGATTGCTCTCAAACCATGTGCTGCAAGTCAGGGAGCTAAATATTTTTCAGCTCATCCAAGAGCCTCACATGCAAACAACTATGTCCAAAATTTCCTTCCTCGCTTTTCTTCTTGGAGATCAGCAATTCCAACTGTTTTTTCTTGCTCTTCTCAGTAAAGGTTCTGCAAATGTTCTGTCTGGGATAGAGTCCTTCACGGTTTTCCTTGATCCCAGCTCTAACCTGGGACACTCAGTCAGCATCTCTGCCTACCTGCTGACTGTCAAGCCCTTGGCCTCAACTCTGGCCACAGAGGAGCACTGTGTCAAACTCTCATTGCCCTCTTTCCAGCTCTGTCATGGGAGAAACCAGTAGACTAAGCTGAAACAAACCTCACTTCTTTCAGCCTTCACCATCTCTTCACAGTATTTGCAAAATTGTTTGTGAAAATGCATCAACTTGTGTGCATCCTCTCCCTGTTTTTTAACTGTGTACTAACCTCAGCCTTCAAGTCAAGTTTAGTAAGAAGCTGATAGACCTCACATGAAGGAGTTGACTGCCCTGTGACAGTCTTGTGTCTGACATGCTCCTGATCATGTGGAAAACAAACAAATGTACAACCCACATGAGTGTGTGGAGACAGATCAGGTAAAATTTCTAAAACTTGAGTTTATGTTTCCCTCCTAGACATGTGCCAAAAGCTGTTTTCAGGTAAGCTGGCTGGTTTTGGGACTCAGAAGCAACTGGATGTTTACTCACAACCCACATCACTATATAGTTTGGCTTTGGCTTTTGAAGTTGGTTGGTCTTGGCCACTGGAACAAGCCTAGCATATCATCTAGCTCTGCTGGACCTCGATGGGCTTATGTGTGTACCAGTCTCAGGGATAATCAGAGCACCAGCTGGCCCTTCTCCAGCTGATAACAGAAGCACCTGGTAGTTGCCAGAACAGTTATCCCCATAGCAATGGACTCCTCATATGTTCCTGTAGAGAAGAAGTTTGTTTGGGCACCAATAAGTGATTAGGCATTTATTCGTATCTCCATATGGCATCAATTTCTCCCCCTTTGAATCAGATGAGAGAGCTATTGAAAACGTCCGTGTGTACCAGCGTCCAGGGCTGCCTGTTCCCAGTCTATGCAAAGGCTCTTGAAATGGCTGTCACAGGCCAGAGAATGTATATAGCTGCTTCCTACTGATCACGAGAAACACAAGATAGGTGACTATCCTTTTTTATTAGTTTCTTTTTTTCCTGGATTTCCTCATATTGGTTGGTTTTGCTCTCCAATGCCTCAGCTTCTAATGGTGTGGCACTTTCCTAGTCCTATGGCTCTTTTGATTTGCTGTGATTCGTATTCCTCTGGCCTATACTTAGACCAACTTCCTGGCTTAGTGTGTCATTGATTTGAGGAGGCTTAGAGCTAGCCAACGAGAAATGTCAGACACTGACAGTTAAGTGCAGTTTAAGTCATATAAATGAGTCTGGCCCTTACATGTATTTGTTTTCTGAAACAGTTTTCTTATTTTGCATTTCTTAGTTAGAACATTGTTCTCATACCCCTCCTTCTTTCCT